CCCTTAAGCAAAGAACAGGAGCCTACTAACCAGAGCCTCTCCCTCCACTAAGAAAGCCAACATTCTGAAGTTTCTAAATATAAGAATGATTCAGCATCAGTCTCTGAAAATGGAAGAATTTAGAAGTTTTAACTAAATAATTACACATTAACCAGTATACTCAAAAGATACCCAAACTGCTGCACCTAAATTACTTGTGTTTAGAGTAAGAAGATTCAGGCTGCACTTTAACTGCCTGCATTTCCAGCGAATATTTAACACTTTATAGCACAGTTCCTAATGAAATGTTTAGCAGAGTTTGGGCACATCATCTTAATACCAGTACAATCTGGAATATTCCCCAAAGGAAGTCTGCACAACATGAAACAAAGCTGGATTTTCCCAAAAGCAAAACAGAAGCCAACAAACATTGACAAAAGATGAGGTCAAGAAAGAAATGGGATCTCTGAGGTGAAAAATTGATCGTTCATGCCCCGAAACCTTCTGAATATCACTTAACTGTGGCCTCTCAGTATTCATAATGGCTAAAGCTCTAACCCTTCTCTTCCCCAAAAGCTTCTTTCAGTATAACCCAAGACCAGCAGTACAGACAGACAGCATAGAAGCTTCTTGTAAGTATTCACAGACCACAACTATTGAAAAGAGTGGCCTTGTCAGAACAAGCTATGGGACAAGAATATCAAACTGTGACAAGTAATGGGAAATTCTGCAGCAGGATTTAATAATTAAGAGAAAAAGAGAGAGTTTGATAAATAAGAGTTTCTTATTTTCAGCACTATGACTGTCAAGCAACTGACAAAATGGCACTTGTCAGAGATGCTGCTACTTCAGGCTCTTGCAGCTCTCTACACTATGTTTAGCGTATGGTTTAATTTATGTTTTTCCCTGTGTAAAGAGTACTTTGAATGCTGCTTTGTTCCTATACAGAAATCACATGATAGATTTCTTCAGCTTAGACTGGTTGCAGTGATCATTATTGTTAGCTTTACTTATACCCAGTCCAGCCACTCAGTTCCACTGTATGTGAGAAGCAGCATAGGAAGTATCAAACATATTACTCTAGAAAACAACTTCAGTTGTGAGCCTACTGATATACTGCTATTCAACAATGAAAAAACCCACCTCTCGTACAAGCATGTCACACTTAATGAGTTCTACAATACAGAAGAGCAAGGAGTGCAAGAAAATCACTATACTCAGAAGTACCTACTGTTAAGGTTAGATGGAACACAAGAATTCCTTCTGGAATGCTTTCAATCAGAAGTCACAAGCATAGCAGGTAACTAAAGATGCTGGGCAGATTAAACAAGACCTGCTCTAAGGAGGGACACAGCTGAATCTCTGAATACACACTGACATGGAAAATTAAGTATCTCTGCATATCCCATTAGCTTGTTGAGAATGGCATTTAGGTGGGCTTTCTAATACTATCACATCAAAACAACAACAGCACCAGCACAGAATTCATGAAATTCAAAAGCTCAGTCCTAAACTCATTTTGTATCAGACTTTTAAGAAAGAGAAGGCAGCAAAGCAACTCTGTTCAAGAGACAGTAATTTAATAAAATCTGCCACAAAGGGCCAATAGAACTCATACAAGCAAAAAGTCAGGCAACTGTGCTAGTCATGATTGTACCCAGAATCTCTTTGCAGGCAGCTGGGCTGCTTTCCATGCTACTCTGAAGAAGTAAGAAAAGGTAAAAGGAAAAGAACATGAACAGTTTACATGCAAATAGGATAATTCAGAAAAACAAGGGCTAACCAACAGGTGGAATGACCTCCAACAATAAGCTCCAGGAAAAGCAAAGATGAAGAAAAGAACCTTGGCCAGAAGACAGATGACTCTAATGTTGAATATAAGATTTGTCTAAGTAACTGCCCACTGCCTTTTAAAGCAAACAGCTGTATAACAGCAAGTATCATCAGGAGTCTGAAATGCTGGCCACCAACTGCTCAATCACATCATGGGCACTCCCTTCCAGTCACACATGAAAAGCAGATCCAAGAGCTTCCATCTGACACAAGGAACACCTGCCTTTTACACACAAGCGTCCTTGAACACACCATCTGGATATTTTAAATATAAAGGAAGAGTAAGGCATCCCATTGTTTCCCTCATTTTTCCTTTTCCTCTCCTCACCCTTTTCTCTCTGTTTTTTACCTGGAACTGATCAGATGCACATGTGTTCATCTCTGGTGATACAGGAGGTGTCTGTCCTATTGAAGCTATTTTTTCTGCTGCAGATATTGGTTTCAAAGGTTCCTTGGTAGGTTCTAACATACCCTACATAAACAAATAAAATCTAAATTAAAAAAAATAAAAATCACATGCACACACATTTTTATTTCAAGAACTGCAAATACAAAAAGCTATAACACACTACTAGGTAGCACCACCCTCAACTAAGGCTTGGGGGTAACCACATATCTCTGAGGCACTTTCCTTGAGGGTGCTCTCAATGGGGTAGAAGTAGATGGAGCAGGGGAAGAATCATGCTGGGTACTTAGATCTAAGAAACATTTTAGAGTCAGTAAGAGAAACCCAAGTGTTGAGCTGGAGCTTGCTTTCAACTTTCAATAATGTAATTTAAGCTGACAAAGCAGTTACTTGATAAGGTGATGTCTTCTCCCAATTGTGTGTAGGCTATTCCAAAAATATCAAATGACCCATCACAAAGGTACAAGTGCATTCATTCCATTTCAACAATGAAGTAATTCAGAAGAAGTAAGTCAAATTATCAGTTTGCAGAATGATACCAAACCCAGTAATTATTGACATGGAAATAAATGCATTTAAAAGCACTAAGAAAATAATTAAACTCCCATTATTAATTTTAAACAAATGTTTCAAAGATAGACAGTACTATGAAAAATGTCTGAAATCTCTGATGTTCCTGAGAAAGTGAGGGTGAGAAGGAGGTCTATGCAAAGCCCAAAGTCTGCACTGAGACAGGCCAACTACTTCAGAATGATGAGAAAGCCCCAAATAAAACAATGGGTTTTGCAACTAGTGCATTTTAAAACACTTTCAGGAAGTCAGCTGCCAAGATCAGCTGTCCTACAAATGCATCCACACCATGTTAGAGGAGCTTTGAATTTACCCACTAGTTAAAACAATTCTTTTGGACAGCAGACAAGCACACAGAGCAGTGTAGCAACAGAAAGCAGAAGCCACTTTACTCCTACCATCATTGCTATCCAGCTTATTGTGCACAAAAGTATATTAAAAATTTAGGAGATAATTAACGAGCAGCAAAAATCTGTTGCACAAAATAAGTGCATGTGTGGCAAACACACACAGTCTTGCTCACAAATAGGAAGAAAAAAAGGAATTGCTATGGGATATCTTAACTATTTGCCATCAGAATACCATGTTTACAGCCAGAGAAGCACGTGAGCTGATCTGGATGCATTAGAAAACAACTCCAGAAACTGACTGTAGAAGTCACTTTGTGCAATTAACCTACAGATTAAATCAGCTTAATATATATTACAGAAAACTGTCATTTTTTTAATTCCATTTGTGAATGACCATATAAAAGCATAGGTGTGTTTGTGTGTATGTGTGTGTATATATATATATATGCACATACACAGGTTTCAAGGAAAAAAATAAAACATATTTATTCTGCTCAGACTAGCAAAACTCACAAATCTTCCCCCTGTTTTTACAATACACTTCTTTCACTTAAAATCAAATATCTGCCTGCACAGATATTTGATTTGATGATTCTTTTCCAGCATTTCCATTGATGCCTAAGCCACAACTGTACTTACAAAAATATCTTTCAGCACACTTGCTGCTTAATGTAATTCTATGCATTTCATTATATAATGTTGTTGAAACTCTAACAAAAAATAACGCTAAGAAAAACTTACCAGTCCTGCTGCATACATGGGTACTATAACAGGCTGTTTCTTGTTGCCTGTAAAGAGCTGATAAAACAACAACATATTTACTTCAGAGTTTTTGTGTCAGTGATGAAAATGCTTTTCAATGTTACATAACTTACATAAGATTAGTATCAGAGAACAAACACTTAATTGTAGCACAATGGTTAAAAACTAATGCAACTTTCAGTATTAACAGGGCTTATACAAAGTTATCAGATGAAAAGCCATGTTCAGAGCAGCTATGCAATGAGACAAGCACTCACACAAAGACTTCCACCTGATCCTACGTTTACAGCAGCTTCGTTACTTAGAAAGCCAGTTTTACTGACAGACTCACAATATTTCTTGTGTCGATTCCCAAGGAGCACAAAAGCTTTTTGTTGCTGTGGGAGCCTCCCCACTGGTATCTCAGTCCATAGGCATCATGGATATCCTGCAGCTCTGTCCACACGTCCATCAGTTCCCTGTACAACCCACCATAAATCAAGTTATCAACCAGAAAAACAGCTCAGCAGCCTTGAATACTGAACTCCAGTTTTTAAAGCAAGTGACTTACTATACGTTCCAATTTAACATATGCCCAAGCACAACACCCAGGGGAACTAAAACTGCAGAGTCTTCTCAGAACAATTACAGTTCAGACCTCTTACTGGAAAATTATGTCCACAGCAGACAGGACAAAGCCTACTTAGACTTCATCATTTCAAGAATAAATACAGCAATTTACAGCAAGTGTAACTAATAAGACTTACTCTGATTAATTCAGAGGCACCATTGAAAAGAAGATGATATGCTGCTAAGTTACTAAGTGAAATAACTCCTGGCCTATGTTGTCAGTGAAAACAAGCATTCTGCTAGAGAACTGATTTTTACTCAATAGCTTCTCAAAATGCTTGAAACAAACAACTGATTTTGCATTACTGCTATTTATGTTTTAAGTTTAAGTTTGTGGCATTGTGGCTTCTTACCCAGTATTTGCTAAGGTGTCCTCAGCTGTCATCTGCTTTTCACCTGCTTCCAACAAATGATTCAAGGAATTGATTTCTTCTTCAATCTCAAGAACAGGCATGGAAGGAAAGCAGACTTCAAATATTCGTTCCAGACGACTTAGCAAAGTTGTCTGTATCAAAGAGAAAATATTTATGTCAAGTTTTCTTAACTGCTTTAAAGATAAGGAGTCCAAAATTATAACAATAAGTTAAGATGGAAAACAACATGTACCTAATACAAGGTTTCACTTACCACAAAGTATTTAACTGCCAGAGGATCACAAGACCTTTTAAGCACCAAATACAAGCTTCCAGCCGCTACAAAATAGTAAGGATCTTGCCCTCTGCAAATTGAGTTCTTACAGAAGAGCCCAGATAGGTCTCACCAGAGTTATTCTGTTACAAATTAGTAGGAAATGTGCACAAGAATTACACTATATAAGGATAAGGCCTTTAGCAATATAAACAGCACATACTGGCACTAATGGTTTCCAGGCATTTTAATTCCACAACACACACTAGGCCTTGGCAGATGGATCTAATATGAAAAAACCAAATAATCAAAAACCTCTCTCCCCCACAAAAACAACAGAAGAACTCCTCCCTTTTTTGATAAGCATAGTATACTTTCCTCTTTCTAAGTTCTTCCCTTACATTGCTATCTCTTCTCTGTTGTACTTCCATATAGATAGAATTTCAACTTCTACATCTATGAACTGTCTCAGACATCAGATGTACCACTCACATATTTTTTCACCAGTTCAACCTATGAAAAACAGGTAACCATCAAGCTCTTAATATTTCTTAAAATACCCATTGCAAGGTATGCTCATTAAAAAAAGGCTTTATTTTCATTTTGATGTATTCATTTTTACCAGAAACATCTGACACTCTCTTTCTGAGGAAAGAAGGCACAAGCCTGGCAATAAGAGTAGCATTTCTGTCTTTCTAGTTTAGTTCCTCAACAACCACTTTCCCAGTGCTCTGCTGCAACACACACAGAGCAGTGTCCAGCAGCTCCAACACCTGCTTTTCTGTTGTGGAAATGGAAAAGAAATGGAGTAGGCGGAAATCCCAAGAGCGTCCCACAGTGTGTGCTGTTATAGCTATGCCAGCAGAGCCCTCCTGTGGAGATGCAGCATATTCCAGCAACAGTGCTGAATTTACACATATAAACCTCAAAACAGAGGTTTTTTTGTTACTACTGAGATGAAATCCAGAGAAGCAAGGCTGTAGGTGGGAGTGACCTATTTTAATGAGACCAATCAATATAGCTGGGACGAACTATGCACCAAAATAACTGCTTTGCAATTCCAGCAGTTATCTACAACATTTCTCGCTTGAATTTTTAGCTGAAAATCTGCCTTGTCTCAGTTAAGAAACTCACTGGCCATTTACAAATACCGTGTTATCAGAGTATCTGGATTCCACTCTGGAATCAGGATGATGAGTCAGGAACTGGGACCTGAGTCTGTCCACACTACTCTCTCTATTCAACTGCTAACTGTAAAGAGCAGGAGAATGAACTTGCTTAGAACATCAGCTCTTCATTTTTACTACCTATGAAAGAAATGCCTGGCAGTCACCAGGTACAATGCAATGCATAATGTCAAAACATGCAAAGGATCTGAATTACAGAGCAGACTTTGCCTCACACTTTATTTTACTCTTCATTACTTCACTGGTATATTGTGACCATAATGAGCCATGTTCTACAGTATATAATTATCCTTGTAATCATCTCTTAATGTCCAATCATTCTGGTCATACATAAAGTTACAATACTTATAGGCTGGTTTGTGCTTGTTGACCAGAACTAAGACACTAACTTACATTTTTACAAAGTAAACCTAAACAGGATTCTAGATTCTAGCCTAATGTCTCAGCTCACAAAAGCATACTCCAGTTTTAAAACTTAACTTTGCCTACAATGTATCACTTGCCCTTGATCTTACATCAACAGGAGATGCTTACTTCATTTCTGTAATACAGCAAGAGTACATACCCCCAGGGAAAAGAGGCAGATGAAAGGCACTGGATCACGGAAACAGAAAGGCATGGCATTTCTTGAAAAGGAACAACATTTGAGAACAAGCTAGTGACTAAAAACATGCTCACTTAGGTAATTAAAGAATTAACAGAAAGTCTCTAAAAATCAAGCAGCATCTCAGTCAGCACCCCACTTCAAATTTGAGCTGAAGGATCGTGCCAGAATTTCAGGAACAGTTTAACTATAGCATTCTTTACTTTTCCTGTCATCTCCTCTAAACTTCCAGAAATGCTTAGCCTGTTTCTGTACAGCAAAGAACAGTTTCCATAGCAAACCGGAGTAATTAATTCTGTGTGTGCAAATAGACACAGGGAAGAGTGCACAGACACACATCTCCAGGCAGTGGCAATGTCATTAACAGAAGCAGCTGAACTTGTTCTTCTAATTGGTAATAAAATCCTGTGGCTGCAGCTTCCAGGTATAAAGGACATTACCAAGATTTTAAGGTTAGTGTAAATGTCCATCTTCTACAAACCTCAAGCTGGTGTTTGTATAAATCAGACTGTAGGAAAATACTACTGTGTACAACAGAATTAATGTCATGTCTGCCTTTCTGGAAAAAAAAAGTGCAGAAAACAAGAACTTTTATCCACTTTTCCTGTCACTAAAAGCATTTGATACCCAAGTGTTCTCCATGGCCATTTGAAAAGAATAATTCCTAAAGGCACTTACTGAATATGTGAACAAAGGCTACAGCTGCCATTGAGCATTAACTGTGACTCTCCAAACAGTGACAAACTCAAAGCCCCATACTTTCTGTGACTGCATAGAAGTTTTTGGTAGACACTTTAGATATGTGCTAATCATCACCAGAAACAAACAAAATATCACAGATCTAACATACTTCAGATAAGAATAACCACAGGATTAGAATTTATCTCCTTGGCAGTTAAATAGGGGGCAAGATACACCCCACAGAGCTGAACAGCTAAAGTACCTGGTTTACAGAACTTGTTTTTCCCTTCTTCTCTACAACAAGACTATAGAACCAGTGAACTCCTTCACACACCAAATCTGACCACACACTGACCACACAGCACACCAAATCCTCCCCAGCTGCCTCCACATGAACCCACCAGTGACAGACTTTCTTGAGAGCTATGAAAAGAGGAGATATTAAAACTTGCCATGAAGACAACACACCTGAGCAGCACTAAAGAAACAGTTGACACAAACTACAGTTTTCACCACATGACTGCTGAAATGCTTTTCTCCTTGAAGAGTGGAGTGGCACTTTGTCCTTCTTCCTTCCTCCCTTTCTGCTGGAGGGCACAGCCCCATTTTTCAACACAATCCCTTTTTTTCCCTTAGGAAATGCCTTATAGCCCACAAAATCTCTGCTCTGGCAGCCTTAAGAGGTGCTTTAAGGAGGAGAGCTTCAGCCCTCCTGATCCTGCTGCCAGGAAAAGAGGCCACACAGGAAGCAACACAAGCTTGGGGCTGTTTGCATCTAATAAACACAACACTGGAAGACCTATGAACCAGAGAAAAAGTTAAATTATTGAGCATATTTAGATATCCAAGCTTATATGAAATGTAACAAAAGAAAAACATAATAAAGTAGACAGAAATGAGCAAGATCCAAGATGCTAAACGTGTAATTTAGGAAAGCAAGTTCTAGTGGTGTTCCCCAGGAGTCAGTGT